TTGCACTAGCCACATTTAAAGTCCTCAGTAGCTCCATGTGACTAATGGCAGCCATATCGGATAGTACAGATGAAGCATATTTCCATCAATGCAGGAAGTTTTATTGGACAGCACATGTCTATTTCTAGCCAGTGTTCTGTCTTCATTGACTATTTCAAATTCCAATATAACACAAATACTTTCTTTTACTTTCTGTCACATTACCTTATCAACCAGTTGTTTTGGTTATATTCAGCCTAGAGAAATACTTCACCTCTATATTTTCTCAAATTTCAGAGAAAAATAGTTGTTTTATGTCATTTTAAGAATTTATCTGATACCTGTTTTAGTAGATATCTGGATCTTGACATTTCTGACACTCATGTATTTGGGAAACAGTCCCAGTCTCTCGTGTATAGTTATCCAACTGTACTTTCTCAGCAGTATTCCTTGTATCTATCTTTCCTTTTATCTTTATCCAAAAACTCTCAAAATCTTGGATTTCTAAGAAGGTGCTACTTCTTCCCTGTGTTTTAGTTGTGCATCTTTAGAAAAGGTGATTCCTTCCATTACCATGTCCTCAACTTTTGTAACACTTTTCCGCTTTGGCTTATTTGTATTTTCACTTAAGAATTACTGGGTATCACCCAATAACTTTTTTCTCCTTCAGCCTCATCCATCTTGTGAGATGTCTAGTTTTATATAAGCTACCACCTGAGATTTGACAACAAGGAAGTAGAAAATGAGACATTAGTTTAAGATCCACTCACATAGCAACAAAGTTAGGATACTGAGGGACAAGAAGAATGAGATGTGTCTTACCTGGAGAAAACTACAGAGAAAGAGGTAAAAGAATATTGGAAGTAAGATTTATATCTTCTTGGACGGAAAATCTGAACATTATAATAATGTCAATGTTCCTTCAAAATAATTCATAAGTTTGTTGCAATTGTAATCAAATTCTAGTTGTATTTCTTGGCATTGGCAATTCAACAATTCATCTGAAAGACCATCAAAGAACATTTAGAGGGTAAAAAAGAAAAGAATCAGGATTAGGGATATGGAAGCCATGCCTGGCAGTAAAACTTAATAAGAAAACAGCATTAGAATAGTGTAGTACTGGTACAAAAACAGAGTAATCACTGGATCCAGAGAACCAAAAATATAGTCTAACCAGTCTAAGACCTCAACACAAGAAAGATTTCCTTACGAATTAATTGTACTGTTTCTATATTCACTAAGTCTCTAATACCTAAATGGGCAAAGAACAAATAAGAAAAGTATGCAGTTTTTCATTATTAAAGAAATAAAATGTGAGCTGGGCACGGTGACTCAAGCCTGTAATCCCAGTACTTTGGAAGGCAGAGGTGGGAGGATTGCCTGAGCCCAGGGGTTTGAGACCAGCCTGGACAACTTGGCGAGACTGCACTCTATAATAAATCAAAAAATTAGCAGGGCGTGGTAGTGCGTGCCTGTGGTTCCAGCCACTTGGAAGGCTGAGGCAGAAGGATCACCTGAGCCCAGCGGGTTGAGGGTGCAGTGGCCATAAGCGTACTCCAGCCTGGGTGACAGAGTGAGACTCCAACTCAAAAAAAAGAAAGAAAGAAAGAAAGAAAGAAAACATGAAAACAATTAAGTACCATTAAAATGCCAGTGCTTGTGATGGTCCATAAAGCGATCCTCTCCTTCATTGCTGTCATCTCCTTCCTGTTGTTGCCTTATTGCACCATCCTTGAAGCCATAGTTTCGCATATTCTGTCCTTCAGCAGATCAGCAAGTGTTGGCTGCATTTTGAAGTATGTACAGCCTCTGAACGTTGCCAGTGTTCCTATGCTGGTCCAGTTCCCCAGCCTTCTTGCCTGGCTTATTGCAGTGGCCCCTAACTTTTTCCTCTGCTTCTTACCCTGCTACTGTACAGTCTCTGAACAGAGCAGCCGAAATTACCAACTTAAAATATGTCTGATCAGGTCATTTTTCTGCTCAGTAGCCACCAGTTGTCTCTCAGCTAACTCAGGTTTAAGCCAGTTTCACCATAGTAGTCTACAGAACTGGCATGATTTAGACTCCCACCTTTCCTTTCTGACCGTGTCATCCCCCACATTGTCCCCCTTACTGTCTCTGCTCCGGCCACTTTAGTCTTCTTGTCATTCTTCCAGTAAATCAAGCATGCTGCAGCTCACAGCCTTTGCCCTTTTGGTTCCTCTGCCTGCGATGATTTGCCTCAATACCTCCTTGGCCTGCTGCCTCTCTCCTTTCAGGTCTCTGTTCAAATGTCAGTGAGGTCTTCTCTGACTTCCCTTTATAAAACAGCACACTCGAAGCCCTTCTAAACCCTTGCCCTGCTGCATTTTTCCCCGTAATACATACACCATCTGATAAGTTATATGTTTAATTTATATGTTGTTGTTTCCAGCTAAACTATTAATAGCCTCCATAAGGACAGGGACTGACTTTGTTTTATTTACTGCTGTTTTGTTGGCACATAGAAAAACCCGGCACATAGTAGGCAGTCAGCATTTTGTTGGTTAAATGAATTCACTGATAGAATCTGTTTGGAAAGCAACTACAAAAGGCTTGTTACAAAAAACCTTTTATTTTTGTTTTTGTTTTATTTTGTTTTGAGTCAGAGTCTCACTCTGTTGCCCCGGCTGGAGGCCAGTAACATGATAATGACTCACTGCAGCCTCAGCCTCCTAGACTCAGGCAATCCTTCCACTTCAGCCTCCCGAATAACTGGGATTTCAGGCACACACCACCACACTTGGCTTTTTTTTTTTTTTTTTCTGTCTTTCATAGAGACAAATTTTCACTGTGTCGCCCACATGGTCTCAAACTACTGGCCTCAAGAAATCCGCCTTGGCCTCCCAAAGTGCTGGAATTACAGGCATGAGCCACTGTGCCTAGCAAAAATACATTTTTTAAAAAGGAGAAGGATGAAGTAAATGCTATCCAATTGATAATAAGAGGAAGATCTGCATAGCATAGGGTCTAGTCGATGGGATCTAGAGCAGTGACGAAGGTTGTTGTTTTCTCCTATTAAGAAAAGCCAGGAATTAGATGCCAGTTCCAATTTCCATAAGGACATATCCTGGATTTTCTAAGGTTCTTATGGTTTGAGGTTTTACATTTAGATCTCTGACCCATCTAGAGTTAATTTTTGTGTATGGGGATAGATAGGGGTCTTGTTTGAGTCTTCTGCGTGTGGTCAGCCAGTTTTCCCAGCACCGTTTACTGAATAAGTTCTCCTCTCCCCAGTGGTAGGTGGTGGAGGCTTTGTCGAAGATGAGATGGTTGAGAAATTGAGGTTTTGCTTCTGGAATCTCAATTCTATTCCATTGGTCTATGTGCCTGTTCCTGTACCAATACCAAGCTGTTTTGATTATCATAGCTTTATAGTAAAGTTTGAAGTCTGATAATGTGATACCTCCTGCTTTGTTGTTTGTTTTTTTTTTCTGAGGATTGTTCTGGGAACACTTCTACACTGTTGGTGGGAGTGTAAACTAGTGCAGCCTCTGTGAAAATCATTGTAGTGATTCCTAAAAGCTCTAAAAATCAACCTTTCTTATGACCCCACAATCCCCCTACTGGGAATATGCCCTGAAGAACTCAAATCACTCTATAAAAAAGATATCTGCACACATATGTTTATCGCAGCATTGGTCACAATAACAAGAACCTGGAACCAACCATGCTGTCCATCAAAAGAGAACTGTATTTAAAAAAATGTGGTACATATACATGATGGAATACTACACAGCCATAAAAAAGAACAAAATCATGAATTTCGCAGCAACCTAGATGGAACTGGAATTTATAATACTGAGTGATCTCTCACAGAAACAGAGATCTGAGTATCACTCATAAGTGGTTCTTGAACAACTATCGTAATACATAAGAAAAGGATTGACAGTGGCAGGAAACTATGGGGGGGCAGGGAGGAGAAGGGAGGTGGGATTAACGGTAGTCAATATCTGGGGGGGCACATCTCATCAACAAGGGTACCTGCACAATGCATATTTGTATACCTAACCCTTAACTGTACCCCACCATTTTAAAATTTAAAATATGTTAAAAAAAGAAAAGCGAAAGTGATAGGAGAAGGGAGAAGAATTTTCAGGATGAAGAACAGGCACTATGTGTTGTCAGTCTTTGAGAAGAGCAGGCTGAGGGAAGTAAAAGGTTGGTGCATGGTGTGGGGGGCGGGTAATAGAAAATACAACTATAGGTGGATGGGAACAGATGCTGAAGGACTTGAAAGTGAGTCAGAAGAAGTAGAATTTCCATCCGTAATGTAGATTCATCTGTGAATTCTTGAGCTATGAGAGATGAGAAAGCTTCTAAATCTAAGCTTGTTGGTATCATGTAAGGCAGCAAGGAGAGTGAGATAAGGAATATCAACTTGGGGCAGTTGCAACAAAGTAGAACTCTTGGTAGTAGGGAGTGTAGGGTGTAATGAAACAAAGCATGGGTTGACTGTCAGCATTCAGGGATATGGCAGGGAACAGGGCTTGGTGGTTAACTGTATGGGATGCAAAAAAAGAGGAAATTAAAAGTTCTAGTATTAAAAATCATATTTCCTTTTAATTATTTTGTTTTTTATTATAGGTTTCTCAATCACAGAGAAATGGATCACTTAAGCCTTTGGACGACTCAGTTGTCACACTTCTTATATACTACCAACTAAGATTTATGACAATAAATCTCCACATTACAGAACTGTTAAAGAACCAGAAGAGGATATTATTTCACAAAAATATGATTCTTTAGTAATGACGTTACTAAAATACAATTTAAAAGCACAATTATTAAATAATTAGATTTGCTAATAGGAGCACTCACGTGCAACAGCTACTGTATGCTGATAGTTACCAGACTGCGAATTTAGCTGGTTTTTCCCTTCATGAAGGGAAAACTTTTTCAAAATTCATGATTTTGTTCTTTTTTATGGCTGTGCAATATACCACTTCTGTATTTGCAAGAAGCCTCTCAACATTGTCATTAAATACAGTTTCAGCCAAGTATCATTTAGAAGAATTTTCATGTAACAAGTTCTAGAAAGTTCCAAGTCCCACCACTAAGTGGATTTGATATTATGGCAGCCACTTACAGACTTGTTGTTAGTACTGTGAACCACTACAGCAGCGTGGTGATAGACAGGCGTTTTGAGCAAGCTATACATTATTGCACTGGAACCTGCCACACCTTCACGCATGGAGTTGACTGCATTGTGGTACATCATAGTGTTTGTGCAGACCTCTTGCACATCCCTGTGTCTCAGTTCAAAGATGCAGATCTGAACTCTGTGTTTCTACCCCATGAAAATGGGCTTTCCTTGACTGAGGCTGACTATCCCCATCAGGCCCTCACAGGCATCCCCAGGGTCAAGAAAGGATCTACGTTTCAGAATACTTGTAACTTGAAGGACATTGCAGGAGAAGCAATCAGTTTTGCCAGTGGAAAAATTAAAGAATTTTCCCTCGAGAAACTCAAAAACTGTAACCATGCAGCTTACAAAAAGGGAAGGAAAGTTAAGTCTGACTCATTCAATAGGAGGTCAGTTGATTTTGACTTGCTCTGTGGACATTATGCTAATGAAGGGAATTCCCCATCCTTTGGCTTACTACGGAGTTCTTCAGTTGAGGAAAAATCTCTGTCCCATAGAAACTCACTTGATACAAACCTGACTTCCATGCTTCTTCAAAACGTCTCTGAAGAAGACTTGGTTACTCAGATTTTGGAAAAACATAAAATAGATCATTTTTCTTCTGGGACAGACATAAAGATGTGCTTGGACATCTTGCTGAAATGCTCTGAGGACTTGAAAAAATGCACAGATATCATAAAGCAATGCATAAAGAAAAAGTCAGGGGGTAGTAGCATCAATGAAGAAAGTAGTAATGATGCCATTTCCAGCTCTGAAGCTGTCTATGTGAATGTAATGACCAGATTAGCATCCTATCTGAAAAAGTTACCACTTGAATTCATGCAGTCTGGGAATAATGAGGCTGTAGATTTTATGCCTAACTTACAACTGACTCCATTCTCCCCAATATTTGGCACTGAACAGCCCCCTAAATATGAAGATGTTGTCCAGCTCTCAGCTCCTGCCTCTGGACAGTTTCAGACAATTGAATTGCAAGATGACAAGCTTAATTCCAGGAAAACAGACACTATAAAACCCATTTCAAACAACTCCACAAATTCCTTATATAACTTAGAGGTAAATGATCCCAGAACTCTAAAAGCTGTCCACCTTCAATCACAGTCTTTAACCATAAACGCTTTAGAAAATGTTTCTTCTGGTGATTTAATGGAGACTCTTTATATTGAAGAAGAATCAGATGGAAAGAAACCATTAGATAAAGGACAAAAGACAGAGAATGGACCCAGTCCGGAGTTGTTAAAGAGAAATGAACATGGAGCAGAATTTCCTGAACATGATACTCATCTTAAAAAATGTCCTGCCTCAGTGCAAAATGAAATTGGTAAGATTTTTGAGAAACCATTTGTTCATCTACCTAAGGAAAACTGTAAATCAAAAGTTTCTAAAGTTGAAGAGGGAAACCAGAGAGATTTTATGAATTCTAACAGCCAAGAAGAGATAGATAAATTGTTAATGGATTTGGAGTCTTTTTCACAGAAAATGGAGACTTCTCTAAGAGAGCCACTTGCCCAGGATAAAAACTGTAATTCTTTAAATAGTCATAGTCAGACCCCAGTAGAACTTGAGCCTAAATCTAAAGTCTCTTCACCTGTAGACAAAGTCTCGCCTTCCTGTCTAACAAGGATTATTGAAACCAATGGACACAAAATAGAGGAAGAGGACCGAGCTCTCTTACTTCGAATTCTGGAAAGCATTGAAGATTTTGCTCAAGAACTAGTTGAATGCAAATCAGGCAGGGGAAGCCTATCACAAGAAAAGGAAATGATGCAGATTCTACAGGAAACATTGACAACTTCCTCCCCGGCCAATTTATCGGTCTGTAGAAGTCCTGTTGGTGACAAAACCAAAGATACTGCCTCAGTGGTTTTGATTCAGCAGACTCCAGAGGTGATCAAGGTAAGACCCCAACAATCTTGAGTCATGAGAAGTCTCCAAAAAAGCTTGTAAAATGTATAAACAAAAACTATTTTTTTTAGCCATTTTATGTTCTACTAAAGTTCCTGCCCTGTACTAGGAATTATTTCACTCAGTTCAGCTGGTAAAAAAGCAAGACTTAGCCTGTCATCCCAGCACTTTGGGAGGCCGAGGCGAGTGGATTGTCTGAGCCCACGGGTTCGAGACCAGCCCGGGCAACTTGGCAAGACCTTGTCTCTATGATAAATCAAAAATTAGCTGGGGATGGTAGTGCGCGCCTGTAGTTTGGCTACTTAGAAGGCTGAGGTGGAAGGATCGCCAGAGCCCGGCAGGTTGACACTGGGGTGGCCATGAGCGTGCCACTGTACTCCAGCCTGGGCAACAGAGTGAGACTCCAACACACACACACACACACATGCACAAAAAAGCAAGACTTTAGAGTCAAGCAGACTGGTTTCAGCTGCCCTCCCCACACCTTTCATCTTCTTCCTAGCTCTGTGACCAAAGAAAAATTATTTAGCCTTCACATCCTTATCTATACGGTGGAAATAATAAGGGCCAAAATAATTCGTGTGAAGCACAGGCAAAATTCCTTACACAAAGCAGGCACTTAATAATTGTCCTCACACTCCCCAATCAGCCAGGAGACCAGTCATTGCTACATGCCTGTATAGACCTGTGTAAGGTGCAGTGTATGGTTCAAAACAGGAGAAGACATGATTCTTTAAGAGCTTAAAATCTAGTTGAGACAAAGATACCTGAAACAGTTCATGAGCATGTAAACACTACTCTTTGCACATTTTGACAAAAAGTTTGAAGAAACACGACTCTGAAAGTATTGTTAGTACAATAGACCTTCAAAAAAGGGAAAAACCAGAGTATAAGATTTGCTTCTCTATGCAAGTGAGAATAAATATTATTCTAGAGACATACAAGTATTTCCAAAAGATGTAAAATCTATCTCCCTACTGGTAGCGTTGCTTTTGAATACTCCCAGAAAGTTAGTATCTGCCCATTTGTGTGTGTGTGTGTGTGTGTGTGTGTGTGTGTGTGTGTGTGTGTGTGTGTGTGTGTGTGTGTCTGCCCGTGTGCTTTAATGCAACAAGATATTCCTTTTTTTTTTTTTTTTTAAGTTGGAGTCTCACTCTGTCACCCAGACTGGAGTGCAGTGGCTGCTCCTGGCCACCGTAGCCTCGACCTGCTGGGCTCCAACTATCCTTCCACCTCAGCCTTCCAAGTAGCTGGAACTACAGGCGCATACTACCATGCCCAGCTGATTTTTTTTGATTTATTGTAGAGATGAGGTCTCGCTGCCCAGGCAGGTCTCGAGCCTGTGGGCTCAGGCAATCCACTCACCTCAGCCTCCCAAAGGCGTGGGATTACAGGCTGAGCCACCGAGCCCGGCTAGGATATTCCTTTTTTATTTCACAAGCCCAACATGGGTTATCAAGGGGTTCTGCCCTCCCTCATTCAAAGACTTGGGCTGGTGAAGGCTCCATGTTCTTATTGCTGTCGCATTGCCCCATCTGGGATATGTGGCTTATGAATTCGCTGAAGAGGCCGATGCTTTTAACTGCTTTGTCCTAGACTTGACACAGTTCATTTCTGCTCACCTATCTGAGACACATGTCTCACTAAGCAGTCTCTACCACAAAAGCGTACTGTGCGTAAGCGTGTGTGAATTCACAGACATAAAGCCAAATTTTAAAAAAAAGTTGTAAAATAATGATACAGATTATTTTGAGGTGTATACATTTCTACAAAAAGTATGAAGAAATACCTGGACATGCCAAACACGATGTTAGTCACAATGGTTAACCCTGGAGGAAGGAAGAGAGATGCAGCTGAGGAAGGGTACGCTGGGGGCCTGAATACTCTGAGTGATGTTCTAGTCATAATTTGGGTGTTGGATTCATAAATATTTTGTCATTTTATCTTTATGCCTTTTTGTATCTTCTTAAATATTACGTAGTAACCTTTTTTTACAAAACAAGTTGAATATTAGAGATGGCGTTTATGTGGCCAAGTTTTAAAAAAAGTTACACGTTATTTTAGGATTCTCGTTAAAATTTTCATTTGAACTGGGGAAAAAAGTGTTTATTATGATCAGATGAATTTCTCCCTGGTACAGGTTGAGCATTCCTAATCTGAGAATCCAAAATCTGAAGTGCTCCAAAATTCTAAATTTTTTGAGCACCAACATGATGCTACAAGTGGAAAATTCCACACCTGACCTCATGGTGGGTCACAGTCAAAACTTTGTCTCATACTCAAAAGTATTTAAAATATTTTAATAAAATTACCTTCAGGCTATGCATATAGGATGTATATGAAACATAAATGAATGTCATGTTTAGACTTGGGTCCCAAACCCAAGATATCTCATTATGTGTTTACAAATATTCCAAAATCCAAAAAAAGCTAAAATCCAAAACACTTCTGGTTGCAAGCATTTTGGATAAGGGATACGGATACTCTGTTCTGCTGTGGACTTTTCTAGTTTCTAGTGACATTAAAGTTTAAAATACCACATACTTAATAAGGTTATTCAATGATCATTTGGGTGTAAATATCAGATGTTCACTGAGCTTTTCTGTGAAATCATTTTGTATGTCTCCTCATTTGTTGACTCACAAGGGGTAATACCTTTAGTTAACTTGAGTCAGCGCTGGAAGAGACACTGTAGGAATTAATTACCAAAATAGGAAAAATTTTTCTTCATGTAGCTTGTTTCCACATGGCACATTGGCAATACAAAGGCAATACTGATGTGCTTAATATTTTATAAAGGAAAGAATATACCTATGCAGCAGCCTCAAAATAATAATATCATAAGAGCTATCAGTTATTGTGAACTAAGGTGTACTAAAACATTTAGAGGTATTATCTCACTATTTTCCCCACAATAACCTGTCTGCCCATCTAAAAAGTTCACCTTTTCCAATGTGTTATAACTATTATAATCAGAAATTCTTGCAGTGATGTCGTGTTTTGAAGTTTATTCAACCTTCTTTCCCCATTACCTTCTGTGAAAAAAGGAAACAAATTCTTATGGACGGCAGAAAGTAGAAAGTGTCTGAGCAGCACTTTTCCTTTGTCCTGACTAACAGTTCAGGATCGAGTCCCCTGTGACCACCCAGTCTAAGTCACAGCAACCTAAAAATGCTCTGAATATGTTTCCCAATTTTTTGACAAGTATGGACTGAAATCAAAATCCTATTAAAAGACTATCTCTTGCCATTTTTAAAAATAAGTTTCAATATTCCAGAATAAAATAAAATTTGATGAGATTTCTTCTTGATAAAAGTCGAAAAAGTAATTAATGAAAAACTAATTTAAAAAGGACAAGTGATATAAAATGTTTAATTCAGGAGGATGCTTAATGCAAAAACACAAACCATTCTTCCTTTCTCCATTGCCTCCCCACTTACCTTTATTTAATATTTCTTTTCTTTTCATGAAATATTTTAAGCCAGGATTCGGCAAACATTTCTTTAAGGGGCAAGATAGTAAATATTTTAGGTTTTGTGGGTCACAAAGTCTCTATCACATAGTCTTCTTTGCATTTTTTAAAACAGCATTTTAAAGATATAAACCATTCTTAGCTCCAAGACTTACAGAACAGGCCGTTGCCTGATTTGGCCCATGGACTATGTGGACTATCGTTGCAGTCCAAAAAAATTTGAAATCCAAATCACTTCTGATCCAAGCATTAAAGGGATACTCAGCCTGTTTTGAGTTGTATTGACCCTTGTTTTAGACAAATAGAAAAATACAAATGGTCTAAAAAACACTCTTATTAGCCGGGCTTGGTGGCTCAGCCTGTAATCCCAGCACTTTGGGAGGCTGAGGTGAGTGGATTGCCTGAGCCCGCGGGTTCGAGACCCGCCTGGGCAACTTGGTGAGACCTAATCTCTACAATAAAATTAAAAATTAGCTGGGCATGGTAGCACATACCTGTAGTTCCAGCTACTTGGAAGGCTGAGGCAGAAGGATCGCCAGAGCCCAGCAGGTCAAGGCTGCAGTGGCCGGGAGCAGCCACTGCACTCCAGTCTGGGTGACAGAGTGAGACTCCAACTCAAAAAAAAACACTCTTATTACCCACCACTTGTCTTAGTCAGAGCTTTATTTTTTGCCATATTTGCTTCAGACCTTTGCTTTATCTAATATTTTCAGTATTATTATCATCATTTTTAAAAAATCATCTCAGATATATTAAAATCCCTAGAGCACCTCACCCTAATATTCTGTCTCTTCCTTTTCAAAAGTAATGACTCTCCTGAAGTTGGTGTTTATCTTCTCCTGCAAGCTGTTGATCATGCTTTTATTATAGCGAGAGCAGAGAGTAAGTAATAGAACATAAAATAGGAGAGGAAGGTTGGGGACAGCTGATGCATGACCTTGTATGCTATGTTAAAGGGTTTGTTTCAGGGGAAGGGGGAGGAAAGAAGACTCTTAAACAGAAGAGTCCCTTAGTATGACTTTTTAAAATATATAACAAATTTTGAGTTCAGGTTTTATTTTTTCTTTTCTTTTTTTTAAACTTTTTGGGCAGTTGAAAATTTAGTAATCATTCAAAACATTTTAATTAAAAGATTTACATAATGGTGTGCATGTAGGCAGTAACTGTAAATGGCATAATTATCCTTAAGAGGAAAGATGAACTTGACAGTATTATAGGTCATTAATATTTTAATGTATACTTCAAAATAATTTCCAAAGAGTGAGCAATGTTTGTTGTCCACATATGAATGAAATTCAAACCTGTGTGGGTAGAGGGAGCCAAACAGAAATTACTAGGTTTATAGTGAGAGATTGTTAAAGAGAATATTGGTCTAGACTGGAGGTCAGCAATTTGGGACCCTTGGGTCAAATCTAGCCTGCTGCCTGTGTTTGTAAGTAGTTTTATTGGGCCAATGTGTGTGACTGCTTTTGTGCCCTACCTGCAAAGCTAAGTACAGAGTTATCATAGAGACCTTAAA